AGTGATTCTTCTGCCTCAGCCTCCTGAGGAGCTGGGATTACAGGCACGTGCCACCATGCCCAGCTAAGTTTTGTGTTTTTAGTAGAGACAGCGTTTCACCATATTGGCCAGATTGGTCTCAAACTCCTGACCTCAAGGGATCCACCTCCCTTGGCCTCCCAAAGTGCTGGGATTACAGGTGTGAACCACCATGCCTGGTCAATTCTGTTGATTTTTCGAGGCAAACTACAAACTGGATTCAGACACTGCTACTAAAATGGACTGCTGCTACCCAAATGAAGAACTGTTGCTGGGCTGACACAGGCAGACAGGAAACAGAGGGCTAACAGGAAGGAGTAAGTTCCATCTTTCTCCTCTAGCCTTTTGTCTCCCTCTAACTTTACTTTTGGCAGAGTCTGATGAGGAGCACTGGCAAAGCAGAAGTGTGGTTTGCAGAGTTCCAGCTTCTGGCATCACAAAGCAGAGTTAAGAAGGGTGGCATTGGAGCTGAAAGACACTAATTTAACACCTGGCATACTTACTTTATGTATCTTAAAGCTGATGTTCAAGAAGTTCATGCCCACAACATGTTGCTAAATGCAGAGCCCAGGCTTGAATGAGTATTCTGACACCACATTGGAAGTCTTTCTCCTAAGCCATGAAAACACTCCAAACTAAAAGTTATTTAACTTCCATCCAACCCTTTCATCTTTGAACGGTCATAAGGGGGCTGCAACCAGGTGACCAGTAATCAGGAGCCAGTGGTAGACAGGAGATGGAAACCCCTCTTGCTTGCCCTAACCTCCCTTTCTATGTTTGTTTCTCAAGATTGCTTTATGCATTTTCCTTTCCTTTTATCTGGCAGCCATGTGCACCTTGCTCTCTGCTATGCACAGCCTTCCCAACCCCAGCCTGCACATTTGCTAATGCCATTTCCTTTGTCTAGGGTACTTTTACCCCTCTTTCCCGTAAATACTCTGTGATCCTATAGATTTCTCTTTTTTTCCTTTTTTTTTGAGACAAAGTTTCGATTGGTTGCCCAGGTTGTTGGAGTACAGGGGTCGATCTCAGCTGACTGCAATCTCCGCCCCCCAGGTTCAAGCAATTCTCTTGCCTCTGCCTCCTGAGTAGCTGGAACTATAGGCACATGCCACCACAACTGACTAATTTTTGTATTTTTAGTAGAGATGGGGTTTCACCGTGTTCCCCAAGCTGGTCTTGAACTCCTGAGCTCAAGTGATCCACCCACCTTGGCCTCCCAAAGTGCTGGGATTACTGGCATGAGCCACCGTGCCTGGCCTTCTTTTTTTTTTTTTTGAGACAAGGTCTCACACTCTGTTGCCCAGGTTGGAGTGCAGTGGTGCACTCATGGCTCACTGCAGCCTCAACCTCCTGGGCTCAAGTGATCCTTCCACCTCAGCCACCACATCCAGCTAATTTTTAAAAAACATTTTGTAGAGATGGTGTCTCACTGTTTCCCAGGCTGGTATGGAACTCTTAGCCTCAAGAAGTCCTTACACTGCAGCATCCCAAAATGCTGGGATTACAGATATGAGCTACCACACTTGGCCTCCATTCTTTATGACTCATCTCAAATATCAGCTCCTCCAGGAAGTCTTCCCCTATCTTACTCAAGCCAAATAAAAGCTTCCTCCATTTCCTGTCTACCACTGGCTCCTGGTCACTGGTCACCTGGCTTCAGCCCCCTTATGACCCTTAAAGGTGAAAGGGTTGGGTGAGAATTAAATAACTTTTAGTTTGGAATGTTCTCATGGCTTACGAGAAAAATGACAGATGTGGTATCAGAATACTCAATCAGAAGCTCCAAAGACCCTCATCAATTGGTCTTTGTCTCTCTCATACCACTTTCTACCTTATTAGTCCTCCTCCCACTGCTTATTTAAATGTTAGTGTTCTCCAACATCTCCATTCTCAGGTCCCTCATCTCATTGCCCACACTCCTTCCAGGCAGCCTCCTCCATATCCAAGGCTGCATCTGCACCTGCACTATGTGAATTGGTGGCTCTTGTATCTGCTCTCCAGCCCAGCCTTCTCACCAGGTTTCCAGACATATTTATTTATCCACCTATTTACTGGTGATGGATGTTCTAGCACTATGCCTTGGATTTATTTATTTTTCACTGCCTCCCTGATCTAGCAAACTTTGTCCTCATCCAACCATATGTTTCCAGTCTGGCTCACCTCTGTGAATTATGCCTTTGTCTCATAGTGTCTGACATTGTGACATACATCTGTCTCCCTGCTTAGCTGGAAGTAGCTTGTGGGCAGGAATCAGAAGTTCTGTTTCATTCTAAGGCAGCTGTCAGTTATTTATGTACATGTCCTTTCCTAAGCTAACTGGAAACTTCTTTTTTTTTTTTTTTTT